ATATGTCCAGGTTCCTGACATTTAAAGCAGACTCGAGATTCTRTATTGCAATTTCCTTGATGTATTTTATGACATCGGGCACACACCTTATCATTGAATCTTGAGAGTGGTCGATTCACATTTTCCATAAACCTCGGTCTACGAAAATCAGTAACATTAACTTCCCCTTTTCCTTTCTCTCCAACCCTTTCTTGTGGTTGTCGGTTAATATCTTGTTCCAGTATTTCAGCAGCATCAACTGCCGCCTGAAATGTTATCGGATTCCTGGATATTACATATTTCCGAAGATTCGACTCCAATCCCCAGATATACTTTCTCACCCTGCTATTTTCAGATATAATATAGGCTTCAGCAAACCTAGATTGTTCCATGAATACTTCAGTATACTGGCGAACCGACATATTTCCTTGCTCAAGACGAAGGAAATCATCTTCCAACTTTCGAACTGCAGCTTCAGGACAGTACTGCATCTTAAACTTTACCACAAATTCTTCCCAAGCCATAGTTTTCAGAATATTCGGGTCTGAACTAGACAGAACTTCCCACCAATACAAAGCACTTGATCTCAAACGAGATACAGCAAACATTACTTTGTCTTCTTCTGCACTTTTACTAATTTGTAGACTCAACTCAATCTCCTTAAGCCAACACATAGCTTTAACAGGATCTCGTTCACCAGAAAATTTAGGAGGTTTACACGCAAGAAACATCTTGATATCTCCTCCCTTATGTTCTGAGGACGCAATAATAGGTACAGATGTACCTGTTATCGGTGTACTAGCTCCAATTTCCTCTTGCTCAGAATTTCTTTCCACATTCGAATCAGTTTGGTTTGCATGTTTTAATAAATTCACCAAACTCTCTTGAAATTTTCCCAACTTAGTTGCCAACATATCTTGAGTAATATATTCAGGGTCGGAAACATTACGTCCACCCCTAGCTCTTTCTTGACCACGGCCAGACATTGCACTTTCTTGAGCCGTTAATTCATATTCCTGTCTAGTACCTCTACCTCTTCCTCGTCCTCTACTACGACTTCATGTTTTAATTACATTTTCTGGATTCTCTTCTTGCATAACATTCCTTCTTCCACGACCTCTTCCATAACCAGCAGAGGTTCTTTCAGACTGATTGGGATTTTCTGCCATTTTCTCAATACGTAACCTTTTCTGTCACATTTAAACACACATGATTATTCCCAAAATCATAACATAGTAACACATAGCACATTTATCCTCATGTCTACTCATAACTCAGATTRTATCAATCATATATAATCTACCTTTCTCATAATAGTTTCAGCTATAACATATTTCCATGTTCATAGACCCAGTGAAACCTATTATATTAACTCTTCACACCACTAGTTTAAGTCTAAGTATTTCGCAAATACCCAG